ATTGTTGATATTAGACACTAAGGCCTTGAGAGGTTTCCCCCCTCATGTTTTTTCATTAGGCTTTATTGTGTTATAATTTACATACAATAAAATTCACCAGTTTCAGTCATACATTCATGTAACCACCACCATATTTAAGATACAGAACATGCCTCTTTGCAGTCATTCCTCTGATACCAAACCAGGCACGTTCTGCCCATCCTGCAGTAAGCCAATCACTGAGACAATGAGTTTTGCAGTGGAGAAAACATTTTATTCATGAGGCAGCCTTGTGAGGAGGTGGGAGAACACCCCTTAAATTCTCCTCCTTGAAGTCGGGGTATTAGGGATATTTGTGGGATAAAGAACAAGGCAGTCCAAGGCATGGAAAAAGGTGATTGGTGGTAAGGAAAAGTGAGGTAATTGCTGATCTGTGCGAGTGCAGTTAAGCTTCATGGCTTTTCATAGGATGCATGTTCGCAAAATGGTGTCATTGGCACAATCTGAGGTTGGAATTTTTGGCCTTTTGATGTCAAAAGGGCACTCATTGGACATTGATACAGGTCAAATGGAAGGTCAGCGGAGTCAGTCAGCTTGAACTGGACAAGAGCTGATCCTAATTTCCTGAAAAACAAGCAACCATTACTATGGCGACCTGTACATCAGAGATGTTACCTATAAGGAAACTAGTGGAAGTTTAGTTACATATTCCTTAGTTGCATGACTTTTAGCTATGTAGATTTTAAAATCAACTACAAGCAAGTGACTACAAACACGGCAAATTAAGTTTGACAGGCCTAATTAGGTTAGCCCTGGGTTTCACCTCGTTCTTCAGCAACCACTGATTTGCATTCCATCATTTTAATGTTGCTGTTGCTAGAGTTTTATATTAATATCATCATACCATATTTAGTCTTTTGTGTCTGGCTTCATCCATGTAGCATAATGCTTCTGAGATTCATCCGTGTTGTTGTATGTAGTAGTTCTTTCCTTTATATGGCCAATGAATATTTCAGTATGCTAACATACTACAATTTCATCAGCTGATGGACATTGTAATATGTCCAGTTTGGAGAGGGCTGCTATGAACACTGGAACATGTGTCTCTGGACACATGTTTTTACTTCTCTTGGGTAAAAACCTAGGAGTGGGATGGCTGGGTCAAATAGTAAAGTTATGTTTAAGTTTATAAAAAACTGCCAAACTCTTTTCCAAAGTGACTGGTCCATTTGTTTTTCTTGCGAGTAATGTATGAGAGTTTCAGTTGCTGTGCATCCTTACCAACACTTGATTTTGTCAGTCTTCTGGTGGATGTGTGTGGTGTAAGGCCAAAAGTTAAGGCACAATGTTATGTACTGTCTTGACATCTGGTAAAACTGAGAGGGTCTCAAATGGCCTAACCAGAGGATCCCCTCGTCACTCTTCTTCCATGGATAAGGTACCCTAGCCAAACCACCACTCCTTAACAGAGGGACCACTTACCCCTGAGTAGCAGGGTTTTAGTTCCATGCCAGCTGTGAAATTATTCCAAGAAACCAATCACATATTCCTATGGGAACCAGGGGATGTCTCACCCTCTTCATATTACAAAGTCTGCCTCCCACATCTCTCAGCTGTTCTCTGTTCCCAATTTCAACCCCCATTGAGCATGCAGTGTCCCCTCCTACAAGCTGTGAGTACATGTGACTAATAAGCTGTTCTCAGTTTCATCTGCCTGGTGCTGGGTTTTGTGTTGGGCCTTCCCATAACCCTAGGTGGGAATTCCTCCGTCACCAATATGGTGAATAGGGGGTGATTAACACAGTGTGTAATGGTCTCTCATGGTAGTTTTAGCTTACATTCCTCTAAAATATTGAGCATAATGTATTTATTTGCCATTAGTATATCTTCTTTGGTGAAGAGTCTATTCAAAGTTATTCCCTATTGTATTTAGGTTGTTTGTCTTCCTATTGGGTTGTAAAGGGCCTCTGTTGAACAGTTTTGCGAAGATTTTCCCTCACTCTCTGGTTTCCCATTCATTTCCTTAACTGTGTTTTTTAAGGAGCAGAAGTTTTAAATTTTTATAACGTCCTTTTATAAATTTATTCATTACTGAGAGAGGGGTATAGCCATGTACAGTCAGTCATGCCTGTAGTTCCAGCACTTTGGGAGGCTGAGGTAGGAGAATCATTTGAGACCAGAAGTTCAAGACCAGCCTGGTCAATATAGCAAGACCCTGTCTCTACAATTTTTTTTTTTTTTTTTTTGTAATTAGCCAAGCGTGGTGGTATGCACCTGTGGTCTTAGCTACTCAAGAAGCTGAGGTGGGAAGATAACTTGAGCCCAGGAGGCTGTGGCTTCAGTGAGCTATGAATATATCACTGCACTCCGGTCTGAGTGACAGAGCAAGACCCTGTCTCAAAAAAGAAAAAGAGAGGTGTTGAAGTCTCCAACTAGAATTGTAGATGAAGACTAAAAAACGAAATTTTATTTTTTCTTTCAGTTCTGTCATGTATTTTTAAACCTGTTATTAAATGCATAAACATTTAGGACTGCTATTTCTTCATTATAAAGAGGCTTATTTCTTACTATGAGTTGGCCCTCTTTATCTCTGGTAATATTCTCTCCTGATATCTATCTTGTCTGACATAGCCATTCCAGCTTTCTTTGAGGAAGTGTTACTACAGTATTTATTTCCCGTCTTTTTACTTTTAATGTATCTGAGTCTGTGTATTTAAAGTGGGTTTCCTGAACATAACATAATTTTGTCCTGCCCTTGTATCCAATCTAAAAATCTCTTGAATGTTTAGATTATTTACATTTAACTTGATTATTGATATGGTTGGGTTCAGATCTACCACCTTCTTATATTTGTTTTCTGTTTTTATCATTTGTTCTTAGCTGCTTTTTTGCCTGTTTTCCTGAATTATTTTTCACTGGGTATTTTAAAATATTTCTTTATTTTTTTTCTTGGCTTATGAAGTATACTCTGTGTGTGTGTGTGTGTGTGTGTGTGTGTGTGTCTGTGTGTGTCTGTGTGTGTCTGTGTGTTTGCTCCAAGATTTGCAGTATATATATTTAACTTACTATAAGCTACTGTCAAATATTATACTACTCATTTTTCAGTATATATATTTAACTTAGTATAGGCTACCTCCAAATATTATACTACTTATTTTAAGTATAAGAGCCTTACAATAAAATACTTTTCTTTCTCTCTGCGCCCGCCAAGCCTTTTTTGTCAAACATTGACTTCTACATATGTTATAAACTGCAAAACATTATTATTACTTTTGCTGTGAGCAATCCCATCATCTTTTTAAAAGGTTTAAATAATTTTTAAAAAGTCTTTTATATGTGCCAACCCATTTACCATTTCCAGTGCTATTTATTCTTTCATGTAGATCCACATTTCTTCTTGATGTAACTTTCCTTCTGCCTGAAGGGTTTCCTTTAACTTTTCTTGTCATGCCAGTTGCTGGTGATGATTTCTGGAAAAGTCTTTATTTTACCTTCATTTTCAAATGAAGGATACAATTTTAGGTGAATAGGGATTTTTGGGTTTTTTTTGTTTGTTGTTTTTCATTATTTTCAGTAATTTAAAGATGCCCCTCCATGGTCTTTTGGTTTGCATTGTTTGAGAAATCTACGTTATTTTTATCTTTGTTTCTTTATGGAATCTGTCTTTTTTTACTTTGTCTGCTTTGCTACATTTGAGATTTTTCATTACCACTGATTTTCAGCAATTAGAAGAGCTATGTAGAAAAAACAAAATAAACTACAGACAGCTTTTTAGAATTAATAGAATTTGGCACATTTTTAGATATGGGATCAATATATCAAAACCAATTTTACTTCTAGATAGGATCCGTAAGTGGAGATTTACATATATATACGTAGATATATCTACATATATAAGTAGTATGTGTGAATTTGTGTTTGTATATATACATATATATATATATAGAGAGAGAGAGAGAGAATAGATACTAAATGGTACCTAAAAACAAATGTAATAAAATATGTGCATGAACTTTATGTAGAAAATTATGAAACATATAAATTAAAAACAAAACATTAAAGAAACCTAAATAAATGGATAGACATACCATCTTCGTGTTAGGAAGACTCATTACAGATTAATTCTCACCCAGATTATACTTTTAATTCAAGTAAACTCAGAGTCTTGACAGTTTTTTTCCCCCAGAGTCTAAGATTATACATATTAAAAAAGAGAAAAATACAAAAGGTAGCTAAGACAACTTTGAGGAAGAAAAACAGGGTGGGGGATTTGTCTTATATTTAAAATTATGGATTATTCAGTAAAGAGTTCTAGGAATACCTGGCTATTTATATGGGGGTGTGTGTGTGATGAATTTAGTCTTGTTTCATACCATTCACAATCATTTTCAGGTAGATTAAAGATGAAAATGTGAAAAAAATGAAAGTGAGGACTGTAAACAGTAATATCAATACCACCCACCAAGCTAAATCTGCATTTTAAAAACTTTTCAGGTGGTTATATGAATATTAAAGTTGGAAAAACACTGGTAAAGGAGATTTATCTTTATAACTTTGGATGGGAAAATAGTTTTTAAAAAACACAAAATGCACAAACCATAAGAGAAAAAATAAATTTCATATTAAAATTGAATACTTCAACTACTAGCTAAAAGATAGCCTTTTCCCAGAAGTTGTCCCAAATAGGTGTCAGAAAGCTTAACTTAAACTGGCTTAAGCATGAAAGGGGATCGATTGGTTCATTAATCTGATGACCAAGGGGGAACTGTAGACATTCCAGAACCCAACAATTCCACCAAGAAGTAGGAAAAGGAGAAAACAGCTAAGTTGTGGCCATGCGGCCATTCCAATCCCAGAGGGCTGACTGGTTAGATAAGGTAAAGAAAGGAAGAGGGTATTTTTGTTTTGAGTAAATGATGGTTACCTAGAATGTTGGCAGTGGTCCAGAAGATAACTCAATATAGATAAGAAAGTTTTGCTAGTTTTTCTAAGAAAGAGATTTTTTTTTTCCATTTCCACAGTAACTCTCAGAAGAGACTGGAATTGATACATTGATTTGTACCTGAATGAAAAGCTGCCTCATAGAAACCCAAGAGGAAGCCAATATTTCGAACAGTATAATTGTAAGACAGTGTTTGAAATGCTGGAGGAAGCTTCAGTCAAAGCCAGGCCTACCTATGAACTTTTCAGTTGCATGAGGCATTGTTATTACAGTCTTACGGTGTATCCAGAAAATTGTCTGTAAGTTTTAGGAGCAACTCAAACTTATTTCTTTCATTTGTTTTCCTCTTGGCAAAGAATCTCAATAAATATGATTTTTTAACCACAATACTTTGACATACATAAAAGATATTGCTAATTTACAACCCAGGTTAATTAAATTCTGCATAGAAGGTATCAATTTATGTTTAACTTTTCAAGCCTAAATCATCCTTTAACAATATAAATTAAAATAGGTTTCTATTCTGAAGTTACCTAGAAAAACTTAGGATAAACCATTAGCATTTAAGATTAGTGTGTACAAGAGTAATGGCAATGATACTTCTCCTTTTTTTTTTTTTTTTTACTTTTAAGACAGAGTCTCTCTCTGTCACCCAGGCAGGAGTACAGTGACACAATCATAGTTCATTGCAACCTAGAACTCCTTGGCTCAAGCAATCCTCTCATAGCAGCCACGTGAGTAGCCAGAACTACAGATGTGTGCCACTGCACCTGTATTTTTTTTATTGGTATTTTTTCAGAGTGGGGATCTCACTATGTTGCCCAGGCTAGTCTCAGACTCCTGTCCTCAAGCAGTCTTCCTGCCTCATCCTCTGAAAGTGTTGAGATTACAGGCATGAGCCACCAGGCTGGCCCTATGCTTTTCCATTTGATTAGGAAGGTTATTCAAGATGAATAGGAAAGTATCATGGGAAAGCCCTTTGCTCAAACACAGGCACACACACAGACACATACACACACACACATACACACTCATTTTAATAAGAGTTAATTATAAGAATTTTTAGAAAAGTTGTTAGCCCTTACCCTCTTAGTACAGTTTTAGCTGATTTTACATTGTAAATGTTAAGGAAACATGTTTTTAAATTGTTTTGATATGCCTTCAAAGTTATAAAAGTTATAAAGTTGTCAGTGTTGAAATATATTTGGTACTTTAGCATTATCTTGCTTCCAGGATAATGTTCTCACACTTTATAGCTTTAAGAATGTACTTTACTCATGGGAACTAAAAATGTTATGGTTTGAGAAACCAAAGGGGAAAAGTTCAAAAGGTATTTCATAACTTTTTTTTTTAGGTTTAGAGAAAGGATAAGACTGTTTGGATTATGTTGTTCTCTAATTTAGTAAAAAAAAAATTAATGAATATATGTTAACCTTCAGGCTATCATCATTCTTTCTCAAGATAGATTTATGGTAAAAATAGACTACTGAACTGTCTTCTCAAATTTTTAAAGATGAGTTTGGATGAGTTGCAAATAACATCCTCTACCCTTAGGTCAAAAAGAATATGTAAACCAAAATATTTTAGATAGGAATACTTATTACAGTTTCAACTTTCATACTTCTTATTAAAACGATTGCATAAGAAAATACAATATTTTTAATGTTTTTGTCAGAATATGTTCTGAATTTGTAACACATGTTCATTTTTTAATTGTTCAAAGTAACACACATTCATTTTATTGTCATTAAAATTTTCTTTAAAAGTGAAAGATTGAGTTGTACCCAGAAATAAACTTTAATATTTTGATGTATCTTATTATTTTTCTATCTATATGTATATTTATGTAGATTTTGTGTTTATTAAAAATGACGATTGACTAGGCTCAGGCCTGTAATCCCAGCACTTTGGGAGGCCAAAGTGGGTGGACCACCTGAGGTCAGGAGTTCGAGACCAGCCTGGCCAACATGGCAAAACCCTGTCTCTACTAAAAATACAAAAATTAGCTAGGCATGGTGGTGCGTGCCTGTAATCCCAGCTACTAGCGGGGCTGAGGCAGGAGGATTGCTTGAACCTGGGAGATGGAGGTTGCAGTGAGTCGAGATCATGCCACTATACTCCAGCCTAGGCAACAGAGCAAGACTTCATCTCAAAAAAAAAAAAAAAAAAAATTATGTGGTACATGTAATTTTTATTCTTTCGTGGAAATCATGAATATTTTCCATATCATTAAATATATTTTCAAATGCAAAATATGGATTTTAATAACTACAAAATATTCTTTCCTAGAAGTTCAACAAACATTTAATCTTCAATGTGCCAGGCATAACACCATAATCTTTTTTATTATAACATGTTTTTTAAATTAAAAGGAAACATTTCAAAACGTTTTCTTAACATACTTCTCTCCAGGGATTATGCCAAGTATGCACATGAAAGCCTGTTTCTCTTTGATCAAGGGAATTAGAGGCAACTCAATAATCTAATAGTCAGGGATTCTCAGTATTCATTCTCAACCTCTTCATTAATCTACTAAAAATATTTACCATAATCTTTTAAATCATTTTCCTATTGCATATTTTGCTGATTTATAAAGTTCCTTAATATAAAAAGTACCATGGTAAACATATGTACATGTAAATCTTTGATGATATGTATTATTATTTTCTTAGGATGTGCTTTCAGGATATGCAGTGGTTAAGGCACTTGATATCTATTGATGGCTTTACATCCATAGAAGATATACTTTTCTATAGGAATTGTTGTTTAAGTGTATGCTCATCACAGTGGAGTATTTTCAATTTTAATTAGTACATAAATTATGTTATCTCATAATTATATTTATTACAATTTTAAATTAAACTAAGACAATTGCATAGATTTCTTATTGCCATCACTCCTCACCATTGAGGAAAAAAAAATCTCTGAACATTTAGCTGTTTGTTCTGGTATCTAACAACATATTTCTAAATAATATGATTGTCGTTTCTCTTTGTTTGCTTGGTCTTCTTTAGGCATTATTTTCAGAGTACCTGAAAATAATCATGGAAGAGGAGGAAATATTAATAGCACTCGGACACTGCTCTAATTCCTATCTACCCATTCTGCTAATGTATTTAGATCATATTTTAATGTATAATTTTGTATTTCCTTTCTAGAATTTTCCTGCATGGAGTGCTCCATCCTTTTGTTCTAGTCTCAGCTGGCTGCTCCATGGGCATACTTCATACCTTTCATCACAGCACTTTGCTTGGCCTCTCTCCTGCATGTAATCTCTGTTTCTTGGATCCTGTGCTTACCTTTTCCTGCTGTACTCTGATGTTTCAGTGAAGCTCATCCACGAAGTCCAGAATTCTGCCTGGAAACCAGCTTCCTCCTCAGCTCCAGCTCTTTTAGTGGGTACATCCAAACCGATGACTTTTTCCTTCCTGCTACATGGGTAACACTTAATTGTTCGTCTAATTTCTATTTTCCAGAAATTTCTCAAAATGTCTGCTGATAGCCCCTCACTCATATTTTTCATGTGGGTTTATAGTTTTCATATTTCTTTATTATTGCAAATGGGGGCTGTGGAAGGTGAGAAAACACATGCTTTCTTAAAACAGAAGCTCTCCTTCATTAACTTAAATATTTTTATCAGCTCTAGAAAATGTATAAAGTTAGTACGAGATCAGTAGAGAGAAAGTCAAAGATTACAGAAGTGCTGAGGTAGACCATTCTTCCTTTATTCCCAATGCCTATTAAGACCACACATAGGTAAACTGTTACAAATCCAGAATGGCGAAAGAGTCCAACAGTGGCTGAGGGAAGTAGAGGTTAATATATAGCCCAACAGTGAAAGTAACAGGGAAAGAGCTGGGCAAGGCAAAGGCCATCTTTTGTACAGTTGGTACAGTAGGCTAAATGTACAGTGTTCCATATTAGCTAGAGCAATATGAAGAAAAATAAATTAAGTCCCTCATACCTAAGACCTCTATTTCTCTGTTGATTACATATGCAGTGGCAATGGAAAGAAGGGAAAATAATGGGGATAGCATTTGCTCATTCTCTGACTGTGCAACACTGACAGCATTCTAGACTCATTCTATTAATTGTATCAACTACATCTTATAAAACACATTTCTATAGGCCATATGTAATAGGCCTTGGCTTTATTTGTTGCATTTATTGACTCCTTAAATTGACAACATATAATTTTTTTCATATAATTTTCATCACATAAAATTCACTTCAATTTGTATGAACATATTTAAAGTGGAAAATGTCTTCCCAAATGGTCCATATCTTAAAGTGGCAGATGTTTTATGGGCTTCACATCTGAACTGCCAGAGATCTCAGGCATAGCATACATTAACCACAACCACTTACTGACCTGGTTCAGATACTTGCTCAGTACATGGGGTTAGACTCAGAGTGTGCCTTAGGCTAAAGAAAAAATTATTCAAGTTAAGCATATCCATAAACTCTGGCTCAAGCAGTATATTTTGGGGGTAATAAACACAAGTTTGTTCCTAGTTGGGGGGATATGATGCTTAGGCTTGAAGGTTAACTTAGGCTGTTAACCTTCCTGGGTTTGAGGGCTAGAAAACATAGAGACATTCCTTTCTAACTAACACATTTTCTAATAGAAACAATCCACCAGGATGTTGAGCCCACATTTTAAGAGTTCTTTGGAATTTACTGAAAATGGAAAACTGATTACATTGGGCACATAGGACATTTATATTTATAGAAACATTTTAGATAAGAGAAGAATTTTAAAAGCCAGAAATCACTTTTAGTGGGCATTTTCAGAAAAATGTTGTCAACTTTTTGTAATTTTTAATAGGCATAAAAAGGATTGTTATATTGATATTGACAGAAATTAGGTGGTTAATTAGAGAGCATAAAAGGATGAATTGCTCTAACATTGGTTTAGAATTTTTCTTTATATGATTCAATTTTGTGGTTTGGCAAAGGCCCAATAGTCATTTATCTAGTATGCATACCTTTCCACAGCTGGATTTTCAAATATGATTATAAAGTTCATGTGACAGAACTATTCTGAAAATAAATATGTCAGCAGGTTTTGCTTTATTTTATGCATTTATTCTGGATATAACATAACTTGGTACAAACACAGAATACAATTTAAGACATTTTGTCAGAGCTCTTCAAGTATAGCATCGTTTGAGATTGTGGAAGGTGATCTAGAAACACCTGGGTTGAATATTTCTGTCCCAGCCTTAAATCCTAAAAGCCTTGCAGTTTTATAGTCCTTTTGGGGAAAGACAGGAACTACATTAATACTTGTTAGTGTAAAAGTTAATGCATTGCTGGAAAAGCCTTGTAAAAAAATTAGAAAATTGTGCAAAAAATAAAGGGAAGATTAAAAAGGGTAGTGTTTGAT